GCATGTACTATCAATTACACTATTCACAGACATTAAAGCTATATATACAGCACTCATGCATGTACTATCAAATACACTATTTACAGACATTAAAGCTATATATACAGCACTCATGCATGTACTATCAAATACACTATTCACAGACATTAAAGCTATATATACAGCACTCATGCATGTACTATCAAATACACTATTCACAGACATTAAAGCTATATATACAGCACTCATGCATGTACTATCAATTACACTATTTACAGACATTAAAGCTATATATATAAAGCTATACTCATGCATGTACTATCAAATACACTTTTCACAGACATTAAAGCTATATATACATCACTCATGCATGTACTATCAAATACACTATTCACAGACATTAAAGCTATATATACAGCACTCATGCATGTACTATTAAATACACCATTCACAGACATAAAAGCTATATATACAGCACTCATGCATGTACTATCAAATGCACTATTCACAGACATTAAAGCTATATATACAGCACTCATGCATGTACTATCAAATACACTATTTACAGACATTAAAGCTATATATATAAAGCTATACTCATGCATGTACTATCAAATACACTATTTACAGACATTAAAGCTATATATATAAAGCTATACTCATGCATGTACTATCAAATACACTTTTCACAGACATCAAAGCTATATATACATCACTCATGCATGTACTATCAAATACACTATTCACAGACATTAAAGCTATATATACAGCACTCATGCATGTACTATTAAATACACTATTCACAGACATAAAAGCTATATATACAGCACTCATGCATGTACTATCAAATGCACTATTCACAGACATTAAAGCTATATATACAGCATTCATGCATGTACTATTAAATACACTATTCACAGACATGGACTAGCAATTTAATCTATTTTAAGCTATATATACAGCACTCATGCATTGACAAATAAAGTATTCACAGACATGGTCTAACAAGTTAATCTATTTTGCTATTCATTAAACCATTAACAAAACACACACAATAGTCAATTAAACAAAACCCTCATTGGTGACAAGATAAATAAAATGCAAACTTAATTGCTGTGTGCTGCTTTCCCTGTGACAAGGGTTACTTGTTTGTACTTGGTATTTATGAGATGGCAGCAAGAGGAACCTAATCACAACCAAATTGGAAGACACGTCAAGTAAAACTCAAAACCCCTGAGAACCACAAATACTCATATAACAATTAACATAACAACAACAAAGAAGCAAAAAGACTAAAAAATTCTTTAAAAAAATAAAGATTCTATGTTAATTATAAACCTATTGTGCCTGAAATATAGTTACAATGAAAAGGCAAGCAAATTCACATAGAGAAAGATCATAGAAAAAGCCATTGAGGAAAGAGGTCACAGAAAGAGCAGGTATTTTTTCCAACTAATATGTGAGTTTTATTTATATATTACAATTTCAACAAAAATATAATAATTTGTATAGACTGGAGAAGATAGGGACTATAACATAAGTGAATGAGACTTACAATGATAGTTTGATTACAAAGGAGAGAGCAGCCTACTTGCTGCAACTCTATGTTGCTGTACCGGTACGTGAATAGACAGCCTCTCATGGTATCCTAGAAATAAAAGGGTTCAAACAATATCAACAATCACATAGTATATAAATAATTGTCCCATTTGTTGGGAAATTAAACAAAAATAACTCATTATATCAATATTTTCATATTTTTATATATGTAAACATAGGTATGTAGGCAACTTGGGCACCTTATGGTTTTGATTGTGGGTATGTTGACACTAGGCCCTTAAAGTGATAGTTGCGGAAATGCAGTGAGAGCTATAAACAGGCCCTTATGGAGATGCTGTCATGAGGCCTTCCAGGACTCTTGTGAGCATGCCAGAACATTCTACCTACATTGTTGACTTTGACACTTCCTACGGGACACATCAGCATTTCCAGTTCAACACAACTTCCACAAATTCCCTGGGGAAACAAATTATTTTAACACCCAAGCAAGAACCTTGCGGGACTTCGCACATCAGCTTAAACTGAGTATACGATTTGTCAAAAATATACCTAAAAGACGCAGTGCAGATCCAGTAATTCAAAATTTTCCTTTCAATCGTTGTGATGTAATAATCGAGAATTATCCACAGTGTGAAATGCGGCACTGACATCAAGGAGTAAGAGAATAACAACCCGCTGTGAATTCATCTCATTCAAGATATCATTTGACACTTTAATTAATGCAGTTTCTGTACTTCTGTTCTTCCTATATACCGATTGCAAAAACCGGATATAAGTCATTCTCACACAAGTAGTTGTCAAGTTGGGTAAAAATCGCTCTTTCAATTAGTTTAGAAAAGTAAGGTAAGTTGCTGACAGGACAGTAATTGCAAAGTTCATTAGTATCCAAGTTTGGCTTTTTAAAGAAGTGATTTGACAACACTAATTTTCAAGCTTTCTGGAAATACGCCGGATTCCAATATAGTTTTTACGATGCGCAATAGAACGTTAACATTTTCAACGATCATAGAAGTGGGTGAAGGGTCACTAGAACACGACTTATTTTCACTTTGTTTGATGAGTTTAAGCATTTTCTCGTCAGAAAATAAACTGAAGCAATCAATTTCCTTTGGTCACCAAAATTTTGATCAATAATTTCTGATACACAATCGTTCAGCTTGTCGCTTGTCAGATTTAGCAACTTTTATTTCATTATTGAACCAAGGAACTAAGGGTCTAATGGCTGTCTCTTATACACATCTAGATGTGTATAAGAGACAGATATATATATATATAAAATAAAAGAAACTGCATAGGCAGAGTGATAGGATATAAAATAAAAAACAACACGTATACTCAGTAAACCAATGATAATGATAGTCATGATGATATTAATAATAATGGGGGTGATGGTGATGAGTATGGCGATGATAAAGATGATGATATTAATATAACTTACAACCACACACAATTAAATTTGTCAGAATGCTTATCTTCTCTGTCAGGGTAATTGCATGTTCAAAATCACATACATACATAGGACTTAATGCTATATTAAAACTTCTTTTATTTTATCTTGTCATGTCAATCTACTGATAAAGTTGTTCAAATAACATAGAGCATTGTGATAGATGATTGTCATTTTTCTGAATACAGGCTGAGAATGACTAATGGTTATATAGCAACAATCTCTTACTCTTCTTTAAGATATTATTGTATGTAATGTTCATACACTCCCAAGCTACACTATGATAATGATCAGTTTACTGATAGAAAAATTATGTTATCCTGCTGCATTATAATGACCTTGACATACCTGTATGAGTTGGTAGGAAGTAGTGTTGCACCATGCAGGCACAAGCGGCTCAACATCATTTGGTATTATTAGGTTTGATACTTCATGTATAATTCCATTTTTTGCAAGCACATCAGTTAGTGTGATAGTAGACTGAGATGAGACATCCAACTCACCCTAAAATTTATTAAAATGTTCATAAAGAGCATAGAGGCTGTTTGTGAAATCTAGTATTATCATCAACTCCAATAATTATTTGTGTTCATAAAGAGCATAGAGGCTGTTTGTGGAATGCAGTAGTATCATCAAATCCAATAATTAATTGAAAAATGTTCAGAAATTACTTTTAATTTCGTTAATTTTGCAAAATATTCAATTACAAAAATTGAATGTCAAAAATGTCTTTTTGAGATTTCATATACTTGGTAAATTTAGGTTGATGATAAAATTGTTTGATATAACTTACTTTACTGGACACAAAAAGATTAAGATCTGAACCATACAATGAAACTAAACGTCGCTGTGTCAGAAATGCGTCGATCGACACCTAAAAAGAAAACAATTTATTTTAATTGCTCTGCTCAGGAGCGATTTGGTGCAGTGCTTCAGGTTCTTAACCTTGATTAGTGCAAATACAATTTAGTAAAAGAATAATATTTACCTGTGTATCTGTGATGATATGATTTTCAATAATGTTTTGTAGCTTCCCAGTACCCTGAAGGGAATAAAGGACTCATTAACAATAAACTTCAAGAAAAATTTACTAAACTACAATACAAGAGGCATTAATTTCAATGCATTAAAGCCGTTAACTACAATTCATTATGACACAATAACTACAAAACATTCAATTAAAATTAAGCATTAACATGAATTTAACCAAAAGACAATCATTGCAGATTGTGCGAGTGCATCCTACACAGGACTAGCAGGTTTACTGCTGCAAGAGATTTATGTCCTGAAAAGCTGATTATAAAAAATAAAGATTGTTGGCTATCAAAGTGCTGGCTATCTGATTCATAAGTTGTTATACTATGGTGTAAGTTCATTAAGTATTCCATGAGTCTATTTGTTACCTGTTCTGAAAGAAGAAACTGTAATTCCTCTTCAGTGAGGTTTTCAAATGCCTGATTGACAGGAACAAAAACAGTGTACGGACCATCAGACTCTTGCAAGAAATTGAAATTAAAAAGCTACAAAAACAAAATAAAATAATATACATTTATAATTATATCAATAATATTAAGTACTGAAACAATTATAATTGCCATCAAGCACACATGAATGTGTACAAAACTACAGAGCAGAGATATACTGCATGGTAAAAATAATTTACATGAAAATATATTGAATTGATTACTTTTATACTGTAATGCATGCTAAATCATATAAATGTATACTTTTATATATTATATTATCCTTTATGTCTCTCACAATATATTTTGTTTGCAATGTGTACTAGTTTAAGTGAACTACTACCAATTCCACCACTGCCACTACTATATAAAAACAAATCATATTCCACCACTGCCACTACTATATAAAAACAAATCATATTTTATAACTTAATTCTCAATATCAACATACAACAATGAAAACAACTTACATCTAAAAACTTCTTAAATTGGTGGTAATTATCTTCTTCAGATATCTTTTCATATAAAGTAATCTGAAAATATATAGAACAAATTATTTAGCTTATGTAACTGAAAGTACATTGTTGACATTTGAAATATATTTTGCAAATATTAAGATGGGAAACAATTTCAAGCCAATCATAATAATATGAACATAAGAGCTTCAAGCATACTTTGACTACTAATGGTACCAAACCAACTGCATAGTATTTCCAACTTCCTCTATCAAAGCAATCATTTACCCAATTACTTATACATTCACAATATCATTTTAGGAACTTCTCATAACACAAACAAGACAACTTTATATTATAAAATGGAGTCAGCGGTGGCAACACAACTTTGCCGACAAGTTTGAACCATGGGTTGACTAGAGCCTCAGTCAGGGTCCCGGAATAAAAAAGCCCAGGTAGGGTTCACAGCGAGTGTTTTTATGGCTTAGTATGGTCCACCTTGGTAGGGTTCACAGCGAGTGTTTTTATGGCTTAGTATGGTCCACCTTGGTAGTGTTCACAGCAAGTGGTTTTATGGCTTAGTATGGAAATCAATGATTA